TGTTGTGTATTAGTATCTTTCATTCGTAAAAAAAAGGGAAAGATCGCAATAAAAATCGTTCCAATTTTATCAGATGTCCCCGAAGGGACATTGTAAGCACTTCTAAGTCGTTATATTACCCATAAAGTGGAAAGAGACCACGTTAGATTAGGCTTTTACATAAATATGTCGGCCCTATTTTAGCATATTTAGTAGGGGTGGGTTCGGTTCTTGCGGTTCGGTTTTGACCTAAAACCAAATGTAGAATCAAAGTAAAAAGTTCGGTTCGGTTTCGGTTCGGTTTTACACTCCAAAACTTGGAACCACGGTTTGATTGGTTCGGTTTGTTTTGGTTCGGTTTCGGTTTTTTTCGGTTTTTTTACCAAAATTTTTTCACTTGATTTTAAATTGATATAATACTTAGAGGGATCAAACATATTACATAAAGAATTCAAGCACAATATAACGACAAATAAAATAAAAATGAGAAGAGATAAATATGTCTTGAATTATATGAGTATGCGAGATAGATAAAACTGTATATATTATTGATTTAATTTGTTTGTGAGTAGTTTGAAAATTTTTCATGAATATATATGTTCTATGTGATATAGTTGAGATTAATATTTATTGTTTTATCAATATAAAATCTTTAAGTTAGCTAAAAATAAAAGTTAATTACTACTAATAACTAATAAACACATATGATCATCATTCAATATAGCTATTATTACAGACAATGAATGTGTAAATGAATTTATAAACTAAATTAAATTAAACATAACACAAACATTATTTCTCTAACACAAGAAAACCAAAGACTATTGATGATATTAAGATTAACTAGAATTAATGCTTAACAATTAACATATAAATTTCATATTTTAAATAGTTCGGTTTGTTCGGTTCGGTTTTGAAGGATAAAAACCAAATTCGAATCGAACAACTTCGGTTCGGTTTGGTTTTTTACATTCGGTTTCGGTTTCTTCGCGGTTCGGTTTTATTTGGTTGCGATTCGATTTAATTTGATTCGGTTTTCGGTTTTCGGTTTTTCGGACCCAGCCCTAATATTTAGGTCTCAAAGTGGCCTGCTACCTGTTAAAGTCTGTCATGAAACCTATTTATTATATTTGTTAAAAGTAAAAGTTACAAATCTTTTTAACATGATATAAAGTTTCTCCCCTAATTAAATTACTCACTAATTAATAAAAAATCCTAACACTACGTTAGTTATGTAGCTTATAATCTTTTATGCATTTCAAATTTTGAATAACATTAAATTTCAATGACCTTAATAATCTAATAGCACATTGTATAATAGTATGTATTTAGAACACATTAAATTTCAATGACCTATAATTTAAGTGAGAACTCTCGTACCAATGAAAGTTATACTACTTATTAAAAAATATGGGGACTTTTCAAGTCAATTGTATTAAAATGGTATATCAACATGTTCTTGATATTTAACACATTTTTTAATATGGATCAAGTTCATATTTAACTAATTTAAGGGGATCTGTCATGGAGTTTTGACATGAATATTACTAAAAATTAAGTAATGAACAAAAAAGAGACTTTTTTCTTAGTTTCGAGAAATGTGACTAATTAATACTCATAACACTACGTAACAATACGTAACAATGCATCGCATAACATTACTGCGTAACACTGCATCATTGCGTGCGTAAAGAGTGTAATAAGAATGCCATCTCCAATTTTTAATTTATTATTCTAAACTTTGTGTGAAAACAGTATCAATTACTACTGTTTAAATATCGCTCTAATTATTATTGCTCCAATTACTATCGTCTCAGTTACTACCGTCCTAGTTACTATCAATTTAGTGATCATCGTCTCAGATACTATTGCTCCAGTGACCACCGTCCCAATTACTACCGTCTCAATTACTACTACCTCAGTTACTACGTACTGTTTCAGTGACCGCTCCGATTACTTCCTTCTCAGTTACTACCGTTTCAGTGACCGCTCTGTTCCAGTTACTACCACTCTAGTGACCATCATCCCAATAATTACTACCGCTCCAGTGACCACTATATTAATTATTATTGCTCCAGTTACCATGCTCTAATGACCACCGCTATAGTGACAAAAAATCCAAAATCCATAAGTGACCAAAATCATTAGTGATAAAATATCCATCAGTGACCACCACCTGTTGACCACCTGGACAGTGACTATCACCAGTCACAGTGACCAACCTTATTGCCCACCATAGCGAATTCCCGACCATTGACCTTACCACCCATAGTGACCTACCTGCCCACTAATGACATTACCACCCACATATAGTGACCTCACAGCTAGTGATATCGTCGTCCAAGTGATCTCGTGGGCTAATTATCAATTTTTTTGTCGGTGTGGACAGTGGCCAACTGCCTTGGTTGTGACCATGACGCTGACCGCCGATGAAACGACTGCCGCCGCGGCCTCAGCCCCTCCACAAAATCTCCATTTCCATCCTCCCCAGCCCATCCCCTTTCCAAAGGCCCTGTAGTCCCCACCACCGCCTCTCCTTCCCCTGCAACACACCCCATTCCCCCAATCCAACCCATTCACAGTAGACTCCACTCACCCAGCCTACCCCATCCCCAATCCCCAACTTCACTACCCTCAAACCCCAGCACTCATCACCTAGCCTCACCCTCAGACCGTAGACCCCGGCCAGTGGCAGACTTAGGCATCGGAGCTCAGTGTATGCACATACATAACACTAATAGCAGGGGCGGAGGGGTGGCCAACCGCGCCACGGCCCAACCCAAATTTTAAAATTGCTTATATTTTTAATGTAAACATTTATGTGTAAAAATTTATCTGTAAAAGTTCTTTGTACCGGTCCAGCTCAACTCTTACTCCTGGTTATGCTCCTGACTAATAGTGTACTACATGTGAACAAAAAATGTTAAATAAAATATATACTCCCTCCAACCCGAGATTAACCTTCCATTTGGATTTCACACGTATTAAGAAAATAAATTTACTGAGGGGTAAATATTACTGTTTCGACACTGTTTTGCACTGTTTTTGCATTGTTTTGATGTAAATTTGTTTGCCAAATAAGGAAGTGAGAAGTTATTTTGGGATTGCCCGAAAAGGAAAGTGAGAAGTTATATATATAGGTGTAGTAAAAGAAAATATAAGCTCATAAATGAAAATATAAACTATATATTCAAAATTAATTAAGGATGTTTTTACTTGGACCGTTTTCAGTCCCAGACCAAACTTTAAACAAACCAGATCAGATCAGACTAGACATAAACAAACCAGATCATCAGACTAGATGAGACTTGACTTCTTTTGTTATAAAATACACATACACCTTTGTTATAAAATACACTATTAATAATACTAATAAAGCTTTAAATAAATATATAAAATTTTGAGTAGTTGAGTTAATCGCATGCAATTCTAGTCAACTATTCCACACTGCTACTTATCAAACAGATTGGTTGTTACTATTAATTTATATTAGTTCGAACAATAATCACAATAATTATTAAAATATTAACTAATAAGGCTTCAATATTAGAGAAGTAACAACTAAAACTGAAGTGGAGCCCAGAAAGAATAAATAGAAGATTTTATGAGAATTTGTATCTGATCTTCATGTGCATTCCTATGAGTAACACATTCCGGTCCAATTCAATAAAGAAAGTAAAAGTAAAAAGCATCACGTGATTAAATAGCATGTAACAAGTACTCCGTATTACTCCACATAAAAATTAAAATTCAGGTGTAGCCTTGCAGACATTCGAACTTCTGACTCGAAGCCTTAAGGGGTTCTTAATATTCATAGCACTGCAACTTAGACTAGTAATCATTTTTTAGGTGAAGCCTATGCATACTCTGGTTAAGCTATAGGTCCGCCCCTGACCCCGGCCCTCAACCCCCAGCCCACAGCTTCCAACCCTAGGACCCAAGCACACCACCATAATCTGTTAGAATCCCACACCAGAAAATTTTGAATCAACAAAGTGTTATATTAAGACATGGACTACTCCTCGTATCAGGTTGACCTTTTAGGATGGAATCCCGGATCTTAACATGGTATAATTAATCCTAGTTGCGATCTCGCCGCTGACTGATGTACTCAAAAAAACTTATATGTGTACTTATATGTGTACATGCGTGTACTTATAAACTTTCAAAAAAACATTCAAAAGTGTATATGTACTCACGACCATACACAAAATTTACTTCCTTTTTCAATAAATAGGTGAGGTGATCACCCCAAAAACTCTCGGGTTTTTGGATAAAATCGGGTTCCAAAAAAAAATTACTAGTCTCAAAACAATAAGTCTTCGGTCTCAAAGGCACGGGGACAAATATATTAAAAAGTAAGTAAACATTAATTTATTATATTTTAGTTGGATGAGATTTTGTGAGACTAGTCTGGTCTATTGTGGTTTGTGATGTGTGTATTTACAACTGTTGTAGTCTAATTTAATACTACCTCTGTCCCAAAAAGAGTTGCAAATTTAACTTTTCTTAGTCAAATGGTCTCGTTTTGTTCACTTAATTAGGATGTCAATTTTTAATAATGTTCAAATTTGGAGTTTACAACTTTGAAGAAATTTTAATGTAGTTTTTGAATATGTAAATTTTAATTATTAAAAATTGAATTAGTTATCCATACGGAGGGTTGACTGTTGACTTTGCAAAACAAATTGGGACGGAGGGAGTATGATCTGGTGAGATATTAATTAATTCGGAGCGAAAAAGAGTCCAATTACAAAATCTTTTGAAGAAGAAAATTACAAGTTTGGAAGGATGTGTATATATAGAGAGAGGATTATCCATGTCCCTCTCTTCCTAACCGGAGCGCCGTCCGGCCTCCGCCTTTTGGGGTAGTTCTCGGTGGAATTTTTTGCTGAAATTTTTTGTGCATGTTTATCATCAAGTCTAGTTTATTCATACCAAATTTCAGCTAAAAATTCAATCAGGTAGATTTTTTTATATGTATATATAGGGGGGGCCATGTATAGAGATGATCGACCCCATCCATATATTGGTCCGAAATGGGAAAAATGGGTAGAGTGTGGTTAGAGATTGCGACAATGGTTGGGGATATTGCAGCAACGGTGTGTGGGTTTGCGGTGGCATACATGCACGCCACCTCTGTGCTTTGGGCGATAGCAATGTCCGCTCATCTCCTTGCGCTCATCGCCGCTGTTTCTCTAGGATATTTCGTCTACGCCATGCTTCGTGATTGGAAGCTTTTAGGGTGTGTTTTCTCATCTTTAATTAGCTCTTCGAGATTAAAGTTTTGTTTCACGCTATAATTCAAAAAACAGATTCGATCAAGAATACGTCCTAGCTCCTCATATAATAATTCAAGTCCATCTTAGAATAAAATTTATATCGATCATGTCTTAAGGAGATGGATGTATAATTGAACTCATTCGTTAATTCATTATTTGAACTCATTGATTAGCTACCTGCCTTGTTTACTTTGTTTTTAGAAACCTGCATGCTATAATAATATCAATAAATTAAATTGTTAGCGCCCGTTGTGGCTGGATCAATGGAAGGAGTATTTTGATGCGTTTGCAGATCTGTTCGTTGATTCAAAGATAATTAAAAGAATAAACAAAATGTCAAAAGGAGAGCAGCAAGTCTTGCTTTCAAACAAAAATAAGGTGAAATTCTAAAGTAGGAGTAGTATATTACCCTTATTTAATACTTGAGAGTACTTACTACGTCGTTGAAAAAGAGAAAATTCACTAAGAGCATCCATATTCATGATCTTCAACTTTAGGTTTTTCATGGCTTATTATTACCATGTCACCTCCACATAAGATAATTTTAAATAATCTCCAAACCAATAAATTTCTCCTCATTCATGATCTTAATTTACCTTGGATAGGAACATGAGTATGCACGAACTACAAAGCTAGTCATCACCATAATTATGAATATATGCCTAGAAGTTGGAAATAATCTCAAAATAATCCAGCTTTAGAATTTGATACCAGATTATTTTATCAAATAATCTCATGAAATAATCTCAAATCCTCATCCATGATCCCAAAAAAATCCTCCACATCATCAAAATGATCTAAAAAATAATCTATGGATGTAGATGTCCTAAATAAGAGTAAAAACGTTTTGAAATTCCAAAATTGGAGTATCATGTTTCCCCCCTGAATAGGAGTAAATTTCTGCCAAGTTTGGCATTAGAAGACTTTAAACATATTTTTTTTTTCCAAACTTGACATATTACTCCAATTCAGGGAATAAAAAACATAATACTCTTATTTTGGAATTTCAAAACCTTTTTACTCCTATTTAGGACAATTCCAAAATAGGACTGACATGTTTTTATTCGCAAAGTAGGAGTAATTATTGCTAACTTTGGAAAATACTGTCATGTTTGAAGTCTGATACTACCAAAACATGGTGTGAAAAAATGGCTCATTTGCACCCCTAGATGATAGTAGTTATATAGAGTAGTAGGGACACAATTTTATATGTACTATTCAGTTAGATTTTGGGGAGAAACTCATATTTAATGCTAGATGTCATATATTGTAGGGCATACACCATCCTCCGGCTCGCTATTGTGGCTTGCGGAATTGGGAAGCATTCTCTCACATTTTATGCTGGACTCGTAGTTTCCATCAGTGACCTGGCAATAGTTGTTTCTGCATACTTGGTTCCTCACTTGGTCCCAGAGTACATTTCTTCATCAGCAAATGTTGAACTCCCAAATATGAAAAAGTGACTTTATAAATTCTAGAGTATATCTCTAACATATACTTCCATTAAAAAGTGCAACAGTCAACATTGGAAGGTTCCTAACTAAATGGCACAATTTTTTATATATACACAAGCAAATGTTAGGCCTTCCAAAATCATTGTACAAAATCATTTGCTAGAGATATATTCTAGAGTATATCTCTAGCAAATTTTTTATCTTGATCAATTTACACAAAACTGCCATATCCTTAGCAAATGTTAGAGATATTTTCATTATATTATGATCAATGTTACTTAGCCTTTTGTAATAATTTATTTATCCATAGAATAGGCCTTAAATGGAAAAGGCTACTAAGCTAAATTAGGAATGGGTCTCCTAAAAAGGAGAGCCCATATCATTGTAAAACCTACCATTCTAAGGAGGCTATAAATAGACCCCTTAGGAATGGCTAGGTTAAGCTTTTCAATGCATTCTCTGTGCCGCAGTGCCTATTTGCGTGTAAGGTTTTTATGCTAGGTTTTCACATCATTCTGTAAAACCTTCACCATCAATGGAAAGCTTCATTCCCAGATTTGTCTTCCTTACTCATACATTTTAGACTAGAAAACAGGGACCTAACATCTGGTATCAGAGCCGAAGCTGATCGACCGATTGAAGGCAGGAAAACACTCTTGCGCGATTCTTCATCGATGAAGTTTTGCACTTGAGCGATCTTTTGTTCTGTTTTTGTTGTGATTTTTTCAAGAAAATGTTTACAGGGAAATGCTTCTAGGCGTGTTGGGATCCATTTTGTGAAAAATCTCACTGTAAAAGTTGGCGTACAGGTTAAACAAGAGTTGAGCGATCCTGCAGTATCGCGCAACTCGTCTGAAAAGGAGAACAGGTTCGCGCAACGCCTCCTGAGCGATCTCGAGTTTCGCGCAACTCTCCCTGCGCGGTTTTAGACTTGCACCATTTTTTTGCAGATAGAGCGATCATCCTGCGCGATTTAACACTTCGCGCAAACTTCCTTGCGCGATCCAGCACTTGAGCGATCTTAGACTTGCGCGTTTTGGACTCGCCCGATCTGAGAAGTTGCCCCATTTGGAGACTTGAGCGATCTTTAGACAAGTTGAGCGATTTGAAAAGTTGAGCGATCTTTTGTAAAAGTTGAGCGATTTTTGTAAAGTTGAGCGATCCTTCAACACTTGCGTGATCCCATACTTGCAAAGACATACTGCCTGAGGTACCAAACAACAAAACAGAACTCAATCAATCAACTGATTAGTCCGATCATTTAAAATGGATGCTTTGTCGATTGGAAACGACACGAGACCTCCGATTCTACGAAGAGGAGAATACAATGTTTGGAAGAACAGATTTCTAAATTTTCTTGAGAGTAAGGACCAAACTTCAGGCCTACTTGACTCCATCACTAATGGCCCTGCACAGCTGCTCATAGCTGTTGACAGAGACAATGGAAACAATCCACCTGTTGAAATTGAATGGAGACCCAAGACAGTTGATGAATATGATGACGAGGACCGAGCTAGAATCCGAGCTGATTTGCTTGCTAAGATTTATCTGTTGCAGGCTATCCCGAACGACATCTACATGCAGATTGACAGCATGTCAACGACAAAAGAGATGTGGGATGAAATCTTCAAGATTATGCAAGGAACGGAGATTGGAGTAAAAGCTAAGAAAGCCAGCACCTTCACAGCATATGACTCTTTCAAAGCCAAACTTGGAGAATCCCTTGAAGATACCTATCTCAGATTCTTGCAGCTAATCAATGAGATGAGAAAGATTGGCGTGCACAAATCAAACATGGAGCTGAATGTGAGATTTCTGTCTTCACTTGGAGCTGACTGAAAGAAGCTGAGTTCACAGATAAGGCACACTAAAGATCTTGATGAGATGGATATCCATGCTGTGTACAACACACTTGACCAGTATGCTGAGGATTTTTCTGACTTTGTGGTCGCCACTGTGACAGCTGATAAAGGGAAGGGAGCCGTGGACAAACTAGCTGACACCCTTGCACTGATGCTTGACAAACCCTCAAAGTCTGGCTCCAAGAAGGATAAGATGATAGCTGAAGAAAGTGAGAGTGCTGACAGTGATATCGAATTCTGGGATGAATCGGATGATGATGAACTACGTGACTTCCAGAAGAAGATAGCCCTTCTTACCTCAAGGTTCAACAATCAGATGCAGAAAAAGAAGAACTCCTCAAATAACAGGCTCCGCAAAACTTCAACCAGCAACAACAAGAGGAAAGAACGCTCTTTTGAATCTTTTGAGAATGGAAATGCTGAGGATGCTCCAAAGTGCTTCAACTGTGGGAAGACTGGACATCTGATAAAGGACTGCAGGATACCTAAGAGGAGGAAGGATGCTGAACACGAAGAAGATGTTGCTGGCTACGGAACAAAGCAGTGATAAGAGTGCTCTTAAGGCAGAGGAAGATCACTGGATGGATGACTCTGACGATGAGGAGAATATGGCCTTGATGGCAGTTGTTGAAGAAGAAGAGAAAGAGAAAGATGCTGATGAGGAAGGAAAGAAGAAATCAATCCCTGCTGCTGATGAAAAGAAGGAGAAGGACACAACCTCCACTGCTGAAGAGAAGAAGAACCCGCCTACTGCAACCAATGCCGATGAAGTGACTGCCCTGTCTGCTGAAAACAAGAATGCTGACAATGAAGTAAGTACCTCTAATCCATTTGTTCATACTCGCTCTAGAACTGATACGCATGATAAATTTAAGGAGCTAGAGGAGAAATATGATAGATTGTATGATGTTTATAATAAACTGCGTGAAAAACAGACTTGCTCAAACATCAAAATAATCAATTCAGAGAAAATTATCACTAAGCTCACAACTGAGAATAAAAGACTTAGTGCTAGCGAAAAGGAGCTGACAGAGAAGCTTAGGACTACTGAAAAAGAGAGAATTAGACTTTTTGGTGTCAACAATTTACTTATGGAAAGAAGGGGGGGCTCTTTACACTAAAATTAAAGAACGTGAAGACCTGTTAGCTAAGAGGGACCAAACAGACTAGACTATTTTCCTTAATCAACCTAAGGACACTCGTTTCTATAATGCCAAGGAGGGCCTGAGATTGACCAATCCTCAAAACCTGAAAAAGGTCAACTGTAAACAACTCTATGATGTTAGATACATGAAAATAGGATTGACTAAACTCATGGCCTTCACTGGAGCTGAAGAAACGAATGCCCTCGAGGATGAAAAGAGAAAGACAAAGGCTGGTGTCGAGGTTCCTTTTGACTACACAGAGCTAAACAAGAGTTACAAAACAAAAAAAAAACCCTTTGACCCCAGCAGAAGAAATCTTGACCTATCCTCATGAAAAGGAAGCTGTGAAAGACAGAGAGGAAGCCTCCACATCTGAACCCATTGAGAAACCAGCTTACATTCCACCGCTGGCGAGAAAGTTCGCTGAGTTAAAAGAATCTTTTGAAAAGGAAAAGCAGGTTTTTGAAAAAGAAAGAGATGAACTTTTAAAAGAAATAACCTCTTTGAAAACCGCCTCTCAGTCTAACACAGCTTCTCAACTCTCTTCCCCCTCTTGTTCTGAAAACACTTCTGAAAATTCAAGCGATAGTTTTAAGACTTCTTCTTCTCATCCCAAGTCTCATTCTCCGACAGGGAAACATGTGAAGAAGAGAGTCGAGAAGAAAGGAGAGTGGATTGAAGACAAAATAAGAAGGAAGAAGAGAGAAGAAGAGTCGACATTAGGGAATAAAAATCAGCGGTCGAGCGCTCTGTTTTATGTTAAAAATAAGTCTAGTTCTAGCATTAGTGAGCCTTCTACTAGTTATACTAGAAGAGCAGCTCCTAAGTCTTCTAGTTCTAAGATTTCTGTCTCGAATCGCTGCACTAGTTGTATCTCTCTGAATTGCATTAAATCAATGAAATGTTGTTGTTTTGAGTCTGATCCTTCAAGCAGTACAAGTAATCCTGTGATTGTTAAGAATGTTGCAAATAAGCCCAAGATTGATAGGGTGAATGCTGAGAGTGAGGTCAAATGGCCATTTTTAAGGTATCCTCTCAAGATTCACCCAGTCAAACATCTGAGAAGGCTATCATGTGAACCAATTTTGAAAGATCATATATCTAAACAATCACTCAGGACAAATGAAAATTCCCTCGCTCCAAAAATGAAACAAATGTGGGTTCCTAAGGCTGAAGCGGAACAATTAAAAATGAAAAATTCTTCTCAACCAGCCAGCCTAGGATCCCAAATCAAAAAGAAGTTGAAACAATTGCTCACTGTTAATAAGGAAGGACCCATCAGGCGATGGGTACCTAAGCGAAACTAATCTGTTTTACAGGTCAGTCATGTGTGGCATCTTGATTCGGGTTGCTCGTCACACATGACTGGACAGATTGAACTACTGAGCAACTATTCTGAAAGATTCGTAGGAAATGTGAGGTTTGGGAACAATGCTTCATCGCCCATACTTGGGATAGGAGATGTCATCTGTGAGAGCGTCACAATCAGAAACGTGTCGTATGTGCAGGGACTGAAGCACAACTTGCTTAGCATCGGCCAATTTTGTGATAATGGAATGGAAGTGAGATTCCATGCTAGGCAATGTTGTGTGATGGATATGGGTGGAACACCATTATTAAGGTGTCAGAGGAAAACCAATCTCTACACCATTGATCTAAAATCGGTACGATCCCTCATATCCATTTGTCTCCTGTCCAAAGCATCTGAAGAGCAAAGCAATCTATGGCACATACGTCTCTCACACTTGAATCTGCCAGCTATCAGTCCCCTCTCCTCGAAGAAGTTGGTGAAAGGATTACCTTTTCTGAAGAACTCCCCCAACCATCACTGTTATACATGTCATTTGGGAAAGATGAGGAGAGCTTCACACAAGTCAAAACAATTTCCCTCCTCACCTCGTCCCCTGGAGCTACTACATATGGATCTGTGTGGACCGATGCGCGTGCATAGCATCAGTGGACGCAAATATACTTTGGTAATTGTGGATGACTACTCACGCTACACATGGACCAAGTTTTTGCGCTCCAAGGACGAAACTGCAAATTTAATCATGACGTTCATCAGGACCATACAGCAGAATGTGAAGATCATCAGAACTGACAATGGGACGGAGTTCAAGAACAAGGAACTGACCGAATTCTACGAAGCTCAGGGGATTACACAACAATTCTCTGCAACTAAAACACCACAGCAGAACGGTGTTGTGGAAAGACGGAACAGGACCTTGGTGGAAGCAGCCAGAACCATGCTGATACAATCAAAGCTTCCTCACTTCATGTGGGCCGAAGCTATCAATACGGCTTGCTTCACACAGAACAGAATGGTGATTCACAAAAGATTTGACAAGACACCCTATGAGATTGTGTTCAAGCGACTCCCTAACATTGTCTTCTTCCGCGTCTTCGGCTGTAAATGCTACATTATGAATGACAGGGATGCTAGGGGAAGCTTGATCCAAAGGCAAATGAAGGGATATTCATTGGTTATTCTACCAATTCTAAGGCGTACAGAGTATACTTGAAAGACAGAAGAACCGTCATGGAGAG